AATTGCTCGTCATTTTTTTGGGACTGAACTCCTGAACATATGACCGAAATTCGGGGAACACATGCCCGAACATTGTTCATTTGTTTGAGAACAGATAATCGAACATTTCTTATTTGTTTGGGAACAAATAACCGAAACTCATGGAGATTGTAGAACCCACAAAAGGAAAATTTTGAATCAACAACAAAAAAACGTACATTTATTTTCTCAGGTCATGAAGTGTGTGGAGATAAAGTAGTAATCACTTTCATGAGTTTTGTTAGAGTTTTGGGGAAAGAGGCTTTTTGGGGTGTGGGGGTGCATTCAACTGAAGGGGTGAAATATTTTCACAAGGATGATTTTAGAGTGTTGCTATTAACATCCCATGAATTATTTAGACCTCTCAATTCGTAACTTTTTTTTATTGCAATAATAATCTCAAATAAAATTATTAAAAAGGACATCATTAATTTTGGGACACCTCATCTCACAATTAAACTCACACACCCCCTACATCATGAATTAGGGTTTATGAAAGCACCCACCTCTATCACTACCCATCCATCTTTCCCAAATCTCTCATTCAAAACTTACCCACCCTTAAAACCTTCAAAACCTTTTGGTGGCAATATTCCGACGGTGACAGTAACGGTAACAACTATTTAATTACCTACGCTTCTTTGGCAATAACAATGAGTGGAAGTTTTTTTGGCAACCACAACTCCATGAGACGAGTGGAGTACAACAATAAAAGTTTGGAGGAGGTTCATAACTTTGATGGTATTCTTAACTCAGAGGAGATTGGCCTTGTAAGGGTAAGTTTCTTAAAAAAAATGGCAAAAATAATAAAATATGTTCGTTATTTTTTTGGGACTAAACTCCTGAACATATGATCGAAATTTGGGAAATATAGGTCCAAACATTATTTATTTGTTTGGGAATCGGTAACTAAGCATTTATTATTTATTCGGAAACAAGTAACCGAACATTAATTATCAAAGAAAAAGATGAGGCCAGAGAGAGAGGGCATACCAACTGTGACAATGGTTAAACCAAAGAAAAGGATAAGGCGGCAAAGACAGTAATCACACTTGGCTCTTTTTCTTCTTCTTCGTGAGTTTTATTAGGGTTTTTGAAAGAGAGGTTTTTTGGGGTGTGGGGTGTGCATTTAATTGAATGGGTGAAATATTTTCAGAAGAATAATTTTGGTATTATTTAGGAGGAGAAAAGAAATTTCAAGGGTTTCAAAATTTATTAGTGCGGGTCAAAAGAAATGAGGGGTCCAAAATAATAGATGGGGTGCTAATAGCAAAACTCTAATTTTAGTATTATTTAGGAGGAGAAAAGAAATTTTAATAGTTTTAGAATTTATAAGTGGAGTCCAAAGAAATGGAGAGTTTAAAATAATTAATGAGATACTAATAACAATACTCATTATTTAATTATGTTAAAAAATATAATATTAATTATGACTTAACGTAATTATATTTAAATACTCATTTCACTTTTTTAAATGTAATAATTAAACGTGTGGATATTATGGAGCCTTAGTGGGTTGACCTGGGTCAACTATTGAGAGGAATTGCGAAAAGATTTTTTTGTACAAAAAAATCCATCCACAATAGTGTGACAAAACAGTGAATGTTTTAAGTTGAAATTAAAAAATCATAAGATGTTACACTATTTTATATTAAAATAAATTAAATAAATTACATTTTTAGCTTTTTTTACTTTATTTAAAATTTTATTATAGTCTTTATTGTTTCAAATTGCACAACTTGTTTTTCACATTATAAGTTAGGTTACATCATTTTATATAAAAAAAAATTTGATAAATTAACATTCGTAATTTATTCAAAATTTTACTTTAGTCTCTATGTTCAAATTACACAATTTGGTTTTTACATTTTACATTGAGTTTTAATTTAGTTTTTCCATTTAAGTTGGATGTTAAAATTAACTATTTTGAGATACTTATCAATCTCTTGAGGTGTGTATTCAAAAAATTGACATAAATTTTGACGTAAAATATCAAATTGAAATTAGATTTGAAGTGAAGAAGGTAAATTGTTTAAATAGAAACAATAGGGAGTCAAAGTGAAATTTTGATCAAGTTCTAGGAGCGAAAAATGTAATTTATCCTAAAATAGTTTAGAATTAGGCTAAGAACACAATAGAGCACAAAATCATTTATAGAAAATATAATAAAAATTGGGATTAAATGTAATTGTAGAGAGGCTCACATTAAGAATAAATCTCAACTTATCAATATACTTTATGCAATTAATTCTACATTTTAGTTCTGTATTGGTAGTATTAGTGAAAACTTACTACAAGAAATTATGTTTTACTTTCGAGAAAATTGATTGAAACATGGGCAGTCTTATTGAAATAGTTGAACATGAGACAACTAATTACAATTCAGTGAAAAAAAGGGGAGCTTTTATTTGCACACACCCAATCCACTCTATACACACACTTAATGATATTTATTTTTATTACAATTTTATCCCTAAGTGAAATTACTATTTTGGACATCATACCCAATTCAAATTAACAAACGTTCTCATTCCACATCCAGACTTCGCATCCATCACGTTGAAGCTGTTGAAGCTCTAAGTCCATTGTAGCTACTCCTTCTTCCATTGAAGCTGTTGAAGCTCCAAATCCATTGAAGCTGTTGAAACTGTTGAAGCTGTTGAAACTCCAAGTCCATTCGTAGCTTTCCATTTCCATTAGTTTACACACTAACCGCATCCTCATTCATAATTGTTATGGAGAATTTCTCTTCTGAAAATTCAGATTTTCAAAAGCAAATAAATGTTCATGAGAAAGATAGCCAAGGAAATGTGAGTTTTGCAATGTAAAAGTCTTCTCTTTTTATTTCAACGTCTTTCGGATAACCAGAGTCGAAATATATCATTTTGTTCGGCATTCTACTACCGAAATAATTATGTAATTTCAGAAGTTGTTGTACGAAAAAATTTAATTTTTACGACATTCAACTTCTGAAATTTTAAAATTAATTCGGACAACTACATTCGAAAATTAGCATTTTGTTCAACACTGTACTTCTGAATGAAGTAAATTTTTTTTTTCCTCATTTTATATTCCAAATTCGTAAACTGCATACTAAATTTACAATTTCAAATTGCAAATTAATCTTTATAACGCCATTTCAAATTTGTAATGTTACACAAAACATATAGGAATATGTGTCAACTCAAGGAAATCAAGTTTGCGTGGATAGTGTGTTGGATTACACTACTCAATTCATAACTAAACAGGTTCACTCTACGAAATTATAACTTTTATGTTTTGAATTGCTCAATAAATGTAAATGTTTGATAATATTTATTTGACTTTGTAGGTATTCAAAAGTAAGGATGACTTGCTCAACTGGGTACGTGAAGTTGGAAAGAGAAATGGTTTGGTCATTATAATCAAAACATCAGACTATGGTGGAGGGAAAAAAAGACCCAGGATGTTTCTTGCTTGTGAGAGGAGTGGCCAATATAATTTAACATAGCACAAATAGAATGATATTCCAGTTGGTGCAACAACAATATCACATCTTTAATTCCGTACAACCAATTACACGACCATTTCCTTCACTATTGGGTTGCAGAAATAATTACCGCATCAAACCAAAACACCTAAGTTTTCATTGTGTAACAAAATTCACATAATCTACCTCACAAAATGACTCCAAAACATAATAATCATAATAAATTCTCATGTTCATCTGAAAAAATTAACTTCACATAAGATGGGAAAAAATATCCTAAAACTAATTCATTAAAAGATTGCATCATAGCTAATAGTAAAGGAGAACTAGTCAAGCCCAATAAGCATTCGGTTATATGAAAATCAAATGTTCCTACTTCTCATTAATCATGCAACACTTCCACACCCTCACAATCCATCCTCACGTAGTGCTCATCTTCATCATTAGTATTTGCACCAAGTCTAGATGCATCTAAAGGTGCAGATGGCATAACCTATGACTAAACCAGTGATGGTAATATACCCAAATACTAATTGTGTGATGATGTTTCAAACCCATTTTGGTTAATCTCTGTTTCTGGATATCCAACTGGGATAAATTGGCTTGAGTTGTTGACACGATATGAATTTTCATTTTAGTGAGTCTCAACAGTTTTTTTTCTCCCAATCTATCTGTCATTTCCATTATTGTCAAATAGCAAACCGAACCGTGAATCATTGTGCTACAATAGTGAATCATAAATCATAAGAGCACTTTATTTAATATAATCTAATATAATTTATGAAAAAATAATATATTCTTATACATGTATATACACATATAAAAATACACACAATGTTTAAAATAAAATGAATATCAATATAACTAAATTATATATACATATATATATAATTATGTTCATTAATATAATTAATTGATCTCTTTATTTCTTGATAGAGGAGTGAACCATCTTTTTGGTTGAAACTCATATCAAAACGTATGAATCTAATCATGAATCACACAATTCTTACAGCCATGGTCCTTTCTGTTTAGAAGCCTTACATATTTCATATTATTACTTAAATTGATTTTTGTTGTTCCATGTACTTCTACATATTCAGGTGGTGGATTTGGTTAGAAGAGCAGTGCCCCTTGCCCTGACACCTGATGATGACCCCAGGAGGGATGAGCTAAAGAAGCTCCAGGAGAAGAAGGAAGAAATCGACATGCTGGCACATAAGCAGGTCCGGCGCATCCTCTGGTCAGGGCTAGGGTTGGCTATCATGCAGGTCAGGCTCTTCTTTCGTCTTATATTCTGGGAATTCTCATGGGATGTTATGGAGCCAATTGCATTTTTCACCACCACCACTGGCTTAGTCATAGGTTTTGCCTACTTCCTGTTTATTTCGAGAGACCCAACTTACCAATGATGAAGATGAACACCAAGTCTAGACTACTTAATTGTCAATTGCATTCAAACTATAACTTATTGATTCTAAATATATGTATATATTTTCTGTGGTGTCCTATCAGGTTGATCTTCAAGCACAGGCAAGGGCTCATAGGATTCTTAAAACCCATGAAATAGTGTGAACTTCAATATTACATAGTCGTACAAGTAATACAGCATACGGTGAATCAGTTGTCAAGCATAGCAGTTAAATTTAATAATACTAAATAAGCAACTAATATCTCCATCAAAATTCAACTAACAATTGGAAACAATTTCTGTAAGAACAGAGACATTCAAACCATCAAAACATGTTACATAACCAAATCAATAGAAATTTTCATTGAAGAGCCATAAACACAACACAATTCAAAATACCTCATAAGCTCCTGTCTCTCTATGAATCCTTGCTGCTTGAGATCATAAAGTTGAAATGAAACTGCAAGGGAGAAAAATTTAGGTTAATTGAATAGAAATCAAATCAAAATCAAAACCCTAGAAATCAAATCAAAATCAAAGAGAGATGAGAGGAGAAACTGAATTAATCGAATAAGGGATGCAATCCAAGGCTCTCACCGAATTAATTCAAGCATCGGAATTAAAATCAAATGCCAAGCTCGAAATCAATCAATTGGTGCTCGTGTAACTAACATCATCAGAGGGGCAATGGCTGGTGGTGGTCGCTGGTGGTGCTCGTGTGTTTGTGTGAGATGTCAATGGAGAGAAAAGAGAGAGGAGGAGAAGAGAGAGAGAGAGGGAGAGGGAGAGAGAGAGAGAGAGACATATATACAAAAAGAAAAATGTGTGAGCTGACAGATTGCTAATAAATCTGTTCAAAAAAAAATATTATTTTAGATCAGATTGCTAATAAATCTGTTAAAAAAAACAAATGACAATATTAATAAAAAAAAATTGAGATGCAAAGAATGTGTAATTTTAACAATATTAATAAATAAATAAAATTTGTAGTAGAAAATTTTAGGAAAAAAGATTTAAATATAAGTGTATAAATTATTTTTGTATTAAAAAGATCTAGATTACAACTAGAATATCTAGTTTATTGGGGAAAAAAAAAATTTATCATATCTACTAGAAATTTATAAATATTTAAGAACGTCTAGAATTTTTTATTTATTTACAATTAAAATATAATTTCTTTAGAGAATGAAACGGTTTGGGATAAAAACATGTATGGATCTAGAATGAAAAGAAGTGTGGCGTAAGTTTTTAAATAATTTTTTTTTTACTTTTAAATTTAAATAATTTACATATACTTAGAAGGAAAAATATTATTTTATTTTCTAAAAATATCGCTAAATTCAAAAACATATAAAATTTAATATTTTACGACATGGAATATATGTTGTCCTAAGTGCAATATTTTATAGCATATTTTTGTATGCTGTGAAAATATATATTTTTTTACGGCATACTTTTGTATACCATAAAAAAATTAGATTGTTCTTATTTATTTTTTTTGTATAAGTTTTCACGACATTCATTAGCATGTCGTGTAAAGTTATAGTATTTTATAACATGAAATGTATGTCGTCTTAAGTATAAATATTTTATGATATATTTTTGTATGTCGTAAAAATATATATTTTTTACGGCATACTTTTGCATGCCATAAATATATAAATTAACGACTTACATAGTATGTATGCTGTTATTGACAAAACATTAACAACTTGCACAAAAAAAAAAAAAGCAAAATGTACTAACTACAACATACATTTAACGCATGCCGTAAACAGTTAGTTTTGTTGTAGTGCCGGCCTTTGCTAAAATTCATAGAGAAATTATTAGTCGACTAATGCATTTGTTTAAGTTCCCAATTTTATCCATTCCATTTCTTTTTTCATTGCCTATCTTTCAGAATAGGAATTTTGCGTGGTAAGTAGTATGTACAAGGCAAGTTGTTGGTTCTTTTATGTCATTTTCTTTTTAATTTTTGTCTTTCTTTTGCAGTCTTTAGTTTCTGAATAACACAAGATGATATATAATACATATATACTATTCTCTCTCTCTCTCTCTCTCTCTCTATCTCTCTCTCTCTCTCTCATGTTCAGGTAGAATTCTTGTTTGTGTTCGAAAGTGTTGGTAATGAACACATTACAAGCTTTTGTATGAAGGTATGCCTTGTTTAGATCATGAAGTTGTGGAGAAAGGAAAAAATAAGAAAAATGGAGAAATAAGTGTTTTGATAACATGATTCAACATCTAAAATTGAATATATTAAGTGATAATCAATTAAGTTTGTTTGATAATTATAATTGATATGGCTTAAAAATTTAAGTGTCTCTTAAAATGTAGGTTAAAATTTAAAAAAATTTTAAGTTATATGAAACTTACTTAATTCTGATTGAATTTATAAATATTAAATATAAATATCAATATACACTATTATAACTCACTACCATCACTACCATCATGCTACAGCCGTCGCCGTCGCCGCCACCACCACCATGCCACCACAACCGCAACCACCACCACCACCACGATGATCACTACCCGCTATGTCTACTATTACCACCACTACCACCATGCTATTGCCATCACCATCACCGCCACCACCATCGCTACTACTACCACCACCACTATCATCATCATTATATCATCACCACTTCCACTACTACCACCATCACAATATAAAAATTAAAATATATAATTTGAAAATAGTAAATTTCAAATTTAATTTTATATATATCAAACAATTTACTTTTAGTTCAGTAGTTAAATTTTTATCAAACAGCTTTTTAACTTAATAAATCTAGTATTCAATTTTCAATACTTAATTTTTAATTTTACCAACCAGCACCTAAAACAAGTGATGTTTAAAATTGTTTCATTCATTTTCTTTTCCTTGATAAATCCTAATATAAGAACAATGTAATGCTTGGTTATTGGGTTGGTAAATTATTAAAACGGTTTGGGTTGGTAAATTATTAAAACGGAGTTAGGTGTTTGTTTATATTTTGAAGTGGTAATGCCTATTGTGATGTATTTGATTATGATTAAAATATTATTAAAAATAGTTGTTATTATTACTTTATAAATTATTTAAGATTTCTTATTTTTTATTTATTTTTATTATAATAATAATCTCAAATGAAATTAGTAAAAAAGATATCAATAATTTTGGAATACCTCATCTCACAATTAAGTCCACACATTTACTACATCATGAGTTAGGATTTATGAGAGCACTCACCTCAATCACTACTCATCCATCTTCTTCAAACCCCACCTTCAAAATCTACTCACCCTTAAAACCTTAAAAATCTTGGTGGCAATATTTCGGCGGTAACGGTGACAACCATTTGATTATCTACACTTCTCTGGCAATGACAACGTGTGAAAATTTTTCCGGCAATCACAACTCCATGAGATGAGAGGAGTACAGCAATAAAAGCTCAGAGGAGATTCATAGCTTTGATGGTATTCTTAGCTCAGAAGAAATTGGCCTTGTAAAAGTAAATTTCTTGAAAAAAAATAATAATAATAAAAATTGTTCGTCATTTTTTCGAGACTGAACTTCCGAACATATGACCAAAATTCGGGGAACACAAGCCCGAACATTGTTCATTTGTTCGAGAACAGACAATCAAGCATTTCTTATTTGTTTGGGAACAAATAACCGAAACTTGTGGAGATTACAGAACCCCCAAAAGGGAAATTTTGAATCAACAACAAAAAAACCTATATTTATTTTCTTAGGTCATGAACAAGCATGTGGAGATGAAGTAGTAATCACTTTCATAGGTTTTGTTTGAGTTTTGGAGAAAGAGGCTTTTTGGGGTGTGGGGTTGTGCATTCAATTGAATAGGTGAAATATTTTCACAAGGATAATTTTAGAGTGTTGCTATTAGCACCCCATGAATTATTTTGGATCCCTCAATTTGTAACTTTTTTTTTATTACAATAATAACCTCAAATAAAATTATTAAAAAGGACATCATTAATTTTGGGACACCTCATCTCACAATTAAACTCACACACTCCCTACACCCCCTACATCATGAATTAGGGTTTATGAAAGCACCCACCTTTGTCACTACCCATCCATCTTTCCCAAATCTCTCATTCAAAACTTACCAACTCTTAAAACCTTGAAAACCCTTTTGTGGCAATATCCCGATGGTAACGGTAACAACTATTTAATTACTTAGGGTATGTTTGGTAACGTTTACGTTTTCAGTTTATATTTATAAAAATTTTATGAACTGGTTTTTGTTTATTTTTTGTTTATTTTTAGAAAAATATAAACAACAAACGTGTTTGGTAATTGACAAAATGTTTAAAAAATTTAAAAAATATAAAAAATAGTGAAAAATGGCAAGGGGTGGCAAGTGGCGGCAAAAGACGGTGGTGGAAAGTGGTGACGGTGGGTGGTGGGTAGTTGGTGGTGGGTGACGGTAGCAGGTGGGTGGGTGATAGTGGCGGGTGGTAGCGAGTGGGTAGCGGTGGCGGTGGCAGTGACAGTGACGGTGGCGGGTGGTGGTGGCAGGTGGATGGTGGCGGATGGCGGATGGCGGGTGGTAGATGGCGGGTGGTGGCGGTGGTGGTGGGTGGTGATGGTGGTGGTGGTGTGACGGTGGCGGGCGGTGGGGGTAGCGAGTGGGTATAGTGGCGGCGGCGGCGGCGGGTGGTGGTGGCAAGTGGGTGGCGGATGGCGGTTGGTGGCGGGTGGGTGGTGGGTAGTGGTGGGTGGGTGAGTGGTGGGTGGGTGACGGTGGCGGTGGTGGGTGGTAGCGAGTTGGGTGGTGGTAAAGTAATTGTGGGTAGGTAGGTGGCGGGTGGTGATGGTGGTGTGGTGGTGGTAGGTGGGTGGTGAATGTGGCAAGTAGGTGGCGGGCGGTGGATGGTAGTGGCGGGTGGTGGACGGCAGGTGGGTGGTGGGTGGTGGGGTGGTGGTGGCAAGGGGTGGGTGTGATGGTGGTGAGTGGGTGGCAGGTGGGTGGTAGTGGCGGGTGTGGCAGGTGGGTGGTGAGTGGTGGTGACAGGTGGTGGTGGGGGTGGGTGGTGGGTGGAAAATGGTGGCGGGTGGTGGGTAGTGGTGGCGGAAGACGGTGGTGGAAAATGGTGGCGGGCGGTGGCTAGTGTTAGGTGGTAAAAAAAAAAAAAAACTGAAAACTCAAAATGGAAACACATTTTTTGTGTTTTCATTTTTTGGCCAAATTTATAAACTGAGACCACTGATTTATAAATCAAAAATTTTACCAAACAAGTTTTTATTTGAGTTTTTTAAATTTTTGTAAATATAAACAGAAAACTGAAAACGTAAGTGTTACCAAACAGCACCTTACATTTCTTCGGCAATGACAATGAGTGGAAGTTTTTTCGGCAACCACAACTCCATGAGACGAGTGAAGTACAACAATAAAAGTTTAGAGGAGGTTCATAACTTTGATGGTGTTCTTAACTCAGAGGAGATTGGCCTTATAAGGATAAGTTTCTTAAAAAAAAAAGGCTAAAATAATAAAATATATTCGTCATTTTTTTGGGACTTCCTGAACATATGATCGAAATTCAGAAAATACAAGTCCAAACATTATTTATTTGTTTGAGAATCGATAATTATGCATTTATTATTTATTCAGAAATAGGTAACTAAACATTAATCATCGAAGAAAAAGATGAGGCAATAGAGAGAGAGAGCATACAAACTGTGACAATGGTTAAACCAAAGAAAAGGATAAGCCGGCAGAAACAGTAATCACACTTGGCTCTTCTTCTTCTTTTTCTTCGTGGGTTTTATTAGGGTTTT